AGCGAGGCGCGGGGGCAACACCGAGGGTTGCGATCCCGTTGCCGGTCCCGGTCCGGTACGGGGGCGACACTGAGGGTTGCGATCCGTTGCTGGACACGGAAAAAGACAAAAAAAAAGAAATATTCAGACAAGTAGAATGGTATAATTAGCCCTCATGTTTACCATCCAGCTTCAGTTATGAATAGTTAGAACAAGGCTAACTACAGTGAAAATCAAAGATATATTATAGAATGACAATTGTTATCAATTTGGGTTTTAAAGCTTTATTTTGCATCTTCCAGGCCCTTGGGGATATGCATATTGGCATCCTTAGCTGTTGGAAAAAGTTTGAGGGATTCTGTAAATTGGCCTAACAGTATTGTCTTTCCTTTGCAGACCCAGAAGTCCACATTCCCCTAGAGAATCTACAGCAGTTTCCTGCCTTCAATACCTATACCTGCTCCTCCAATTCTGCTTCGGGTCCCACCAGCACTGAGGGCCACGGGGCCCTTTCCCTTTTGCCTCTTAGCAGAAGTCCAGGTTCACATGCAGGTAAATAGAGTTGGGATTTAATGAATTCAGCTATTGGCAACACCTTAAGCAAAGCTCTGATGTCTGAGTTTGTAACCCTGACTTGCTTGATGTGGTGTGATCTTTAGGCAGGTAACCTTACTTTGGGTAGTCCTGAGGTATATCAAATTCTTGCCATTTGATTAACCTTTCTCAGTGGCTGTACTGACTGCTTATATACCCTGCCACCTTCTAAAAACCTCAAGGAAGCTCATTAGGCAGGGTAGTTAATCCTAGATTGTTCTCTGTGACCCAGCTGTTTTATTTCTAGCTTTTATGTTTGAGATACTCCACTGTATGCCTGAGCATCTTTGTGCACTTCTCTTTATTGTAGCATTGTTTGTGATAGTAAAAAGCCAATCAAACCCAAAAGCATACAAAGCCAACCAGTAGGGAAATGGCTATATTATAGCAATTAAACTATGAAATACTTCACACTTGTTGAAGAAGGAAATAGTGCTCTTCATGGACTAATGGAAAGATAAAAGGAAGTTGTAGAACAAGAAGAAACATATCGGGCCGGCCCGTGGCTCACTCGGGAGAGTGCGGTGCTGATAACACCAAGGCCCCGGGTTCGGATCCCATATACAGATGGCCGGTTCGCTCACTGGGTGAGCGTGGTGCTGACAACACCAAGGCAAGGGTTAAAATCCCCTTCCCGGTCATTTTTTTAAAAAAAAAAAAAAAAAAAAAAAAGAATAAACATATCATTTTGGGGTTAAACAAAAACAACCACCATAAAACAAAGCATTTTGTCATGGGCTTATACATCTAAATGGATAGAAAAGTATTGGGACAGGTTTGTTCCAAACTGGTAATACTGTTCCACTCTAGGAAGTAAGATCAGAATTGAGAGGTTGGTTGTTCAAAGGCCTTTAGATTTTTTTTATACTTATTTATTTTTTATTTTTAAAAGATGACCGGTAAGGGGATCTCAACCCTTGGCTTGGTGTTGTCAGCACCACGCTCAGCCAGTGAGCAAACCGGCCATCCCTATATGGGATCCGAACCCGCGGCCTTGGTGTTATCAGCACCGCACTCTACCGAGTGAGCCACGGGCCAGCCCTTTTTTTATACTTATAAAGAGAAAATGTATTAAAGTGTTATAAAATCAAACACTTAAGGAGTTATTGACTAATTTCAGAGAGCTATCTTTTCTTCATCTGTCTGGCAGATAGTTTTTGATACTTAAGACTTTTTTCTCTGTGAGGCATTTTTTTTTTTTTCCTTTTTGTCTTTTTTCGTGACCGGTAACGGGATTGCAACCCTCAGTGTTGCGCCTACCCGTACCACGACCAGCAACGGGATCGCAACCCTCGGTGGGAGCGCCGCCGCGC